TCTCGTCTCGTCTCGTCTCGTCTCGTCTCGTCTCGTCTCGTCTCGTCACGTCACGTCACGTCACGTCACGTCACGTCACGTCACGTCATATCATATTATATTATATATTTACACTTTTATACACTTGTACATATGTACAGGGCCCAGGGCACAACTTTGATAGTGAATATTTGAATTCGATTGTACGTCGCCTACGATCAGAATTTGACTTTACGAAACCTTAAAATTACAGTTAATTCCGAAATTTTACGTCAATAATGCACGTAAAATTAAGCTTATTTCGACTAAATTTTAAAGAAAGGACGCAGGCAAGGTTATACCAATATGGTTAATCACCTTAATAATATAGTAAATGTAAATTTTTATTAAGCTTCTACTACATAAGGTAATAAACTATAATTGTAACTTTTTTTGTAAAAAAAACCGGATTCAAAAGTTCGTAGATTACATCTTGTTTGCCAAGTTTTATTGAAATCAGTTAACGGTAAGTGCGCGAAACCGGATTCATCCCCTAGTTGGCAAACTATAATTACTTACTATAAATATTTATACTATAAATATTTCACCTCTAAAGGTGGCAACCTTTAGAAGTGAAATATTTCCTTCAAACGATGATGAAATGGGATCAATTGTGAGGTAGGTACCCCTTTCCAACAAAAAAAAAGAATTATTAAAATCGGTTCACAAATGAGTTATCGCGTAACATACATACAAAAAATACAGTCAAATTGAAAACCTCCTCCTTTTTTTTGAAGTCAGTCAAAAATGTCACACATTTCGTATGTATGCTAAATGGGAAAAAAAATTGTTATCTTATTCTCTCATATCTGATACGATATTAATAAAAACCTGCATTATAGCTAAAAACCACCAATAGAAAACAGCGTACTTTAAAAAGTCAATGACGTGACTATCTGTAAGCCAACTATTAATTCAATGAAACCGAACAATATAGTTCTGTTGCAATTTGTTGAGAAGTAGCAGTAGAACTCCTTGTTGAGTTTGTCGTAAAAGGGGACATTAATTAACCTGCATTGCAGTCAGCCTAGCCGTCCGCCGCGTAATAGAGGATTATGAATGTAGTCGCAGCGTACAAGCCATGCTGCAATTCTGCAATGCGTCCTGGGAGACTCCATATGCGGTTTACTTTGCAAAAAAGGATCATTCTACTATGGTACGGGTTCCACCTTTTCACCTTGGGAGTTATTTCAGCAACGTTTCAGGGAGTTGGATATGCTCACTGTACCAAACTACTTGGTACAGTGAGTATACATCTTGGTATTGCTGACGGGATTTTTAAAAAGGAGAAGGAACTCTGACTCAAATGTAGAGCCTAGTGAAGGAGAAACTACTAGGAGGAAAAATTTTTAAAATGTTATCGATCCCAAATTAAACATTGTGACGCATTTCACATACTGATCCCCAGTATCAGTTTGTGAAATTGTTTAATAAATTACCCATGGACCTTAAAATTATGAATGACAAAAACATTTTCAAACAAAATTGAGATCTTTATTATTGGCAAAATGCTGTTACTCAGTTGAAAAATTTTAAATTTTGATTCTTCAATATTGCGTATTAGTTATGGAAAATATTCATAATTTACCATTTCAATTACTTCTGAATAATTTTTTTTAATAATCGGCTACAAATATTAGAAAATTTGCGCTAATTTAATAATAATAAAACCGTTTGTTTATCTCAACACATCAATAATTAAATATAAGTTACTTTACACTGAGTTTAGTAACGGACAATAATAGTGTTGGGAGATAAAGAGGTCTGTAGCTCAGCACAATGGTGGAAGATTTCTCAGCGCCCCTGATATTCTGTTGAGTGTGTGCGTTATTATTATTTATTATTATTCTGCTAGAGCCTGTCATGTTCAAAAAAAGAAGAGTAATATTTTCCCTTTTTTTTCTTTTTTTCTTCTTCTTTTTATTAGAGAAAAGCAATAGTTAAAAATCTAATTTTATGTTTTTATTTAAATCTAATAGGAACAGGGTTATTGTTACAAATGACAACGATGTTTTATTTTCATATAGTTGTGGCACATTTTATTTACAAACTCACGTTCACATATGTACAAAAGTATAAATAGGTACAAACATTCAACAAAGCATCAACCATAGTTTCGTTTCATACAAGAATGACTTAGTAATGATGGTAGGAGTGCGCGGGCGCAGCGTGAACTGCAGGGGCGGAGTTGTGGACTACAGCGTTGAAACTGAAACAAATACAAGCGAAGTTGTATCTTTTCTAATCTTACCTACTAGGTTCATTTTCAATGGTATTTTTGTAGAAATAAATAGGTTCCATTCGGAATTCAGCTTTATCACACAAATAACGAATCCCATTAAATTAAGTATTTGTAAAATATGTATATTTATTATTTGCGTCATTCCAAAGGCAATAAATTTCTTTCAATAAAGTGTTACCCTATTAAGTATAGCAAAATATGGTTAGGAAAACTGAAACTTACCCGTTGTGGGCATCAGCGGTGTACTCGACCTTGCGGACGGAGCCATCAGGCTGGACCAGGGAGTAATATCCATGGACAGAGTCGCCATCGCGGGATTCGTGCTGAGACTTGTGGTCACCGGTGTGAGGGTCAGCCACGGAGTACGCAAAGTCGTACTTGGGGTGAGCCTGAAAATTGGGACACGTTCTAAATCGTGGTATCATGATTCTAGGATATTTTATTTGTGAGAGCATTGTTGAATGATAGGATTGTTCATTGAACATGTGGATATTGTGGATGTGTGTACTAGAGAGAGAGAGCGACTATCTGAAAAAATTTTCTCAAAATTTAATTTTTTGAAGAAAATATTATTTATTAATTTTATTTATTTATTTATTCAGGACATTTCACATAGAAAAACACTACACATTAAATATCGAACATAATGGCTTAAAACTAAGTGCTTCTACACTTAAGGAACATCACAGCACGGAATGACAACAATATGTTATGAAATATTAACAAAATTATTGTTGTTTTTAATTATGCGAATATATAATTAATCTGTCTACTTATAAAAACGATATACACAAACTGATTTAAAAATTAAAAATATTATAATACAAATTTCAGAGAATTTACTATTTAAATTTACTATTTAAATTTACTATTAAATTAATTTAAATGTAATTTATTTATTTACAATATCACCATAAATGTCACCCAGCGTTCTTTTGTATCTGTTTAACCCAACACCAATGTCCCAAATCATGTGATTTGGAAAGTGAGTTGTACGTCCTGCAGAGCCTTGGCAAAAGAGTGAAATGACCGAGGTTCGTTTTTGAACCTGGTACGGCAAAAAAGTTGTAAGCGCTTTTCCTGGGCAATCTACAAGGAGTATTGAATAGCAATATATTCAATAACTCAGGTCAATCTAATGAAACGTTAAAAAGTTTAAATAGGAATATTAAATCAAGTCTCTTTCTACGGTTGACCAAAGAAGTCAAATTGTAATGCTTGAATCTATGTTATATTCCACCCTTAGAAGGGTGGCAAATTAGGGGATGAATGACTTTTGAGGTCGGTTCTTTTAGTATTGAGATTTAGAGATTATTAGTCATATCTGCTTTTCCTAGCATTCCAAAGAGATTTTTATTTATATGCTTTAGATTGAGTTTTACTGTTATGTTACATAGTTTTTTCGTTGCTTATCATATTGAAATGTAAAATTACTCAAGTTACTCACGTATTCATCATGACCGTGATATTGAGCGGGAGCAGCATAGTGAGCTACGGGAGCGGCGTGGGCCACGGGAGCGGCATACAGGGCAGGAGCGGCATAGTGAGCGGGGGCGGCATAATGAGCTGGGGCTGCATAATGAGCGGGGGCGTAGTGACCCTCGTCGTGGCGCACAATGCTCTGGGAGGACACGGCGTGGCCGTGGTAGCCAGCATTGGCCGCTGCCAACAGAGCTCCGAAGGCTACGATCTGAATAAAGGAATAGTTCAATTAAAATGGTTATATTAATACCTATGAAAGTTATCCCAATGATGTGTGAAGTCACGAAGTCCGCAACCGTGGGATAACACGGTTGATTAACCTAAATCCCTCTCCACAGAGGACGCTATGTCCACTATGCAGAGCGGTGGGAGATTTAAGCATGAAATAGTACAGTAATTATTAATCAGTAATAAATAACTTAGATTTGTCAAATCTCCAGATTACACTAAAGCACTGGCACTTTCATTCATGTTCGACATTTTGTATGGTTACAGTTTTAAAAAGCTGTATATGACAATTAATTTTTTTCTAAACGTAGTTTGCGTTGGTCAAGCACGCACTTACTTTGCAGAACATTTTGGGTGTATTTTGGTTAACAATCGAATGTTGATTGATGTCAACGGTCCTGGTGTATGGTTTTATAGAACACGGTCGGTCGGCACGCGTGCGCGGTGGGGCAGAGAAATGCGTGCGCGCACCTCGCACCTTGACTCTGTAACTTTGACACACAAGGTCGCAGTTCCGATACTAATGTATGAGCGTTAATCAATATGTCCGCAACGATTTAGTTCACGCAACAGTGGGCGTTGATTCTAATAAAAATATTGTGCTATTTAGTTCCTGTTGCCATTCTTAGAATTACTATGAGATACATATGTTAGGGTATATTCAACAGGTGCTTTTTGACAACCGTTTAAAGTCCAGGAAATGTACTATGTTTGACATGGTCAACGAAGTGAGCCTGATTTGAGTACAGAACAAGATTTTAGCTGTCAAAAGTTACTAATAATATTAGAATTTATGTTATTATAAATCTTAATTACGTGTTTTGAGGAGCTATACTTAAAATACTTTTATTTTCTTCAGTCTTTAGTCACCTAGTGCTGAGTGTATACCTTCTTATTTCCCTCTTCTTCATCTTCGATCTCGGGCCATTTGTATCCAGGATTTTCCGGTAACTTTGTGTATAAAGATCACGGTCCATAATCTGATCCGGTTAATGGACGTTTGCGTGCAAAAACCACATTAGTTTAAATTATGCAGTTATAAATCACTTTTTATTATAAATATGTAAAAAAAATATTGAAAATCAACGGGGTTAACATGTAACAGGGCAATAAAGATTTGATATTAAACATGTTTTTAATTAAGTTATATATTTCAGACTTTCTGTCAAAATAAATATCGTCACACACGTGCACGAACCCTGCGCGATCAGTTGTAGTAGAAATAAGACCGAAATCGTTCTCTTGGTGATCAACAATAAATACAAAGCATAAATATTTTGAGCTAACATACATTTTTTCTCGTCATGTTTTCATCGAGTTTCGCGATTGTTATACACAGGAAAGGAAACTATAATATGCGCTATATACATCCGGAAAAATAGTTTAATTTCCTATACATTTTTTATACAAAAATTGACATTTTTTTATTCCATAGTTCTCAGTACTCACAATAAAGCAACACATACTCCTGTAAAGCACACATATTTTTCTATAAATCTAGCCATACATCATTTCTGTACACCGTGGGTATGGTTTTATACTTTGGGGGGGCTATGATCTTTACAATATACTTAGAAATAATTATAGAACAGTCAATTTGACGATTAAATTGTACTCATCTAATGTTTCGCGACTAAATTTATTTATAAATTTTAACCATCTTTAAGTTCATTACGTGGGATTGAGTTTGTTTTATAGAAAATATACTGGGTCATAGTTTACGCTTGTCCAGTGCTGATTGACGCACTTAACAGTTTTATAACTTACCCGATACGATGCGGCAGTAAACAAGTACTTGAATAGCATGCTAACATTTCATACTAGCGTGAAATTACTAGGTGAAATCAAATACATTCGACAAATTTTATCAGGAAGTCAAGAGGAAATAAAATCAACTTCTTAGGTACACATGTTTCCTGGTGTTTATGACGATTATGTGAAATTAATTTAACTTCTTTTTTTAACCTTGATGCTTCTTTGGAAATGGAATTCTATCAATGATTTCCATGACGATCTACATCAAGAGATCATCATTCGATTCACACTCGTCTCACGTTTTTTTTCTCTCACGTCGCCTCCATGCATATGTTTCAGTTGAGCTCCTTGTGAAAAAGTTCAGGGAAGTATAGAACCTTACAATTTCTGCGGCCACACACACGAGCATTACTGTGTTCCGGTTTGGAAGGGTAAGCGCTCAGTTACCCGAGGCGAAAGATTTCGCGCGGTCGCTGCGCGGCGACTGCCCAGTTACCACGCCTTCACATACATTAATGGCGAATCTGAATTGTATTTACTAGGCAATAACATTTAAATTCCTCTGAATAATACAACCGCGCGGCCGCCGCCTGGCCGCGGCGCGGCCTCCGCACGGACCAAATTCAAGCCAGTCTCGCCCGCGTGCCCGGCACGCTCATTTAAGTTAAAATGAAAAAGCTAAATAAATAGAGCGTATATTACCATGACACTTAGACGCACGCGGTAACGCGATCTCGTCGCGGGGTGTGCGCGATGAAATTCATGGAGAATAAATGCGACCTAAGGGTACCGGTGAAACTACGGGTACGTGGGTCTTGTCATCTTATGTTTCAGGGTGACGGGCGCAGTGGCAGTGCCCCTAAGATCTTTGCGATTTAAAGCTCTGAATGGCACTGCAAATGATATGGATAGGCGAGTCGCTTTCTACTAGGCACACGACTTGTTCATCCCGTCCTTGGTAGTATAAAAAAATTGTCTATTCCAGCAGTACATATGTCTGCTGCTGGCTATAGGCCTCCCGTAGTTTGTGCCATTCACCACGATCTAGTCTCACTAATCTTCGGCCCACAACTTTAATTTTGTCCACCCATCTCACTACAAGACGTGCAACGTTTCTATATATATGTGTTAAAAATCAATAGTGTTCGCAATTAGCGCACAGGTTGAATGGCTAAAAATATGTATTGTTATAAATCAAAGATTCCGAAGGCTTTCTCATTATCTTTTGGGCGTATTAACTATTTGAGTTATTGACATGAAGTTACTACCTACATTGGGTCAATATTGTGAACTATGGTTCCAATACAAGTGGTCAGCAGTGAGTGGGCTGTATGTAGGTTGATGGTGATCTTGATGATAAAATATTTTATTTACAAAAGTACTATCTGTTCAAAAGTTCGATTTGATTTTTAACATAAAGGATAAAATATGGCACTATGAAATCCAAATGGGCATTGGTTGTTTTTGATTGTTGCTAGTCCAAAAAGTCAGATTCGATGCTCGATTTTTTGACCATCGATTCGCGTGATCATACAAAACAAGTAAATTTGTAAGCAACTGACGATACACATTGTATTTTTTGTCGATCAACATATGTGATCAGACAAAATCGAGTAAATATGTAAGAAGCAGACGATCGATGTCATATTTTTTGAAATCGACATATTATGTGGATCGCCAAAAAATCGAGCTAATTATTAGACCAGAATTAATAGAAAGAGCGTAATGCAAAGCCTTGTTTATTTTAAGAAAATTAAATGCAAGGCTGCTTTGCATTATTTGTAACATTGAGAGTTTTATTATTGCATACATGTATATTTTATTCAGGGGCAACTGGGTTAACGGCTTTAAATTAAACAATCGACTGCGGAAGGTAACTAAGGTTAAATATTGTTTATTGTTAGGTGTTTAGTGACAGTTATCATAATTTTATCTTTAACAAGCTACATTGATTACATATATTATTTACAACAACTTATTTTAATTTAATTATTTTAATTAAAGTTATGTACATTATGTTGTGTATTTTTACTAAAACTTGGTTGTATTGATGGGGTTACTTTACACTACACTGCACTACAATGTCATAACTTTACACTACACTGTCATAAGAAGTGATTAATATTTATAGAGATTGTAATATTAAAATACGTTCCTATTTAAGCTAGTTATCACATTTGTCATTTGTCACAAGATCTCTACCTAAAACGAAAGTGATATATTTGCAAAATTGATTTCATTAACATAAAAGTCCTGATCGGCGAAAAATAGTAATCATTTTGAATTGTAGTACCTAATTGGTATGTATGATAATTTTGAGAAATAATATAAACATATTATAAATATAATATAATATAATTTATTATTTAAACGTTTATAAATAGAAAATTTAGGCCTTATCTTGAGTCATCGTGCCCAGAAGGCTAGTAACATTTCCATTTTGCATACCTAAACATATTCTTTGGCAGAAATATCTACCACTCTTGTGGTCACCGGAAGCTTCTACGAGGCTATCTGACAGCTTGTTTGCTTGAAATTTCGCCTGTGGTACCCAGGGTGTTTTCAAACGCAAAAGGCGCAAAGCTGTAGCACTGTACAAGGTTGATCTATTTGACCCTTTTGCAGTTCTTCGCCGCTCAGGCGACAGAGCCTGTGTCTACAGTGTCCACATAGGTTGCGTGCCATACTAACTGGCTTCCATGGACCGATAGTCATGCCGCCAGGCCTTTTACCGTCATTGCGACACATGCCACTGGGCTCGAAAAAAGATACCGGATCTTAGCGCTGGTGAAGGCCGGTACGGTGATGCTATTGAGCGCTGCGTGTCGGGAAATCCGGCCAGCGCTTCGAGTACATGAGAGGCCATGTTGGTCAAACTCGTCAACAGTATCAGCACACGTGCATTGATGGTGGTAGACTGTAATTAGTCGCCCGAAAAGGTCTATCTTGAGTGCAATGAGCAGCTATAAACTTTATGATTATGTGTTTCAGTTTTGAAGGGTAAGGGTGCTAATGAAATTACAGACACATGGGACTTGTCAACTTATGTCTCAGGGTGACGGGCGCAGCGGCAGTGCCCCTCAAATCTTTGCGATTTAAAGCTCTGAGTGGCATTGCAACTGTTATGGACAGGCGTGTAGCTTACCATCAGGCTTGTTCATCCCGTCACTTGATATTATATATAAAAAAAAAAGAATATCATTATAGTCTAACATCATAATATTTAATAAATTATACCATATTATTGTTTCCGTAAAAGTTGGTCATGTTGGTGATTTCAAATACGAACAACTATAATACAAACATCACCATCTAAAATATCAAGTAAAAAATTCAGGCTTCTATGGGTTTGAAATGTTTATTTATGAAGTAAACACTTACCTTTTATATGACTGCAGCATTTTTACGTCATATGTGTTCTTAAATGATATTACAAAATACCTTAGAACAGTTGAAATAACTGTTCTAAAGCAACCTAATTATTGATACAATACAAATTACCTAGGTAATTTATTTCGTCATATTGTTTATTGCTCATACGAACATATTACACACTTGGGCGGTGTTTATGTGTGTGTATGTTTGATGTGCTCAGCTTGAGTAAACTTTTATAGTTGTTGAGAAATTAAATATATTTTTTTTTATAATTACCTTGGTCTATGGTATCAAATTCCATGAAAAAGATATATGAGTCCCTTTTACCTTATCTTATAAATCTTTATACATTTACCAGCAAAATTCGTTAATGAAATAGTACGCTGCCGCTGTTTTATGTATGTGAGTGTTGCTTTAAAAATATAGCAAAAACTTGGTTGGCTTGTTTTCGTTGCTGTGTAAAATTTCAAAGGAAGACGGAAAAAATACATTGTCCCTATAGCCTTGTGAGATGAATAAAATACTATTAAGTTAAGACCAAAAGGGAATTTGTTTTGTTCATTCATTCACAACACTGACGTCAAGTTTATGTACAAGGTACAATATCATTAAAGTTCGCAATTAAAAAATGACGACCTTGATGGTCGCTGTAGGCTTTTTTGGATGAGGTTATGGGTTCGATTCCTGGTAGGACTTATCTCGAAAATTAACTTTCCTAAATTGGTTACGTTTTGGGTATTCAGTTCTGTTTTGTGTTTTTTTGTGTTTAAGGTGTCCCAGAGCGAATTTTGTTGCTCTGCTACGCTTAGTACAGGGAATTTCTCAATTGGTTTATTGGACTCACAAGGTAATTGGTACGGAAGTCTGGCACATTATTCTGAGGAACTCTTTGCTACACCTTAATGGTGATGACCGGGGTAGTGTGGGCTAACCGAGCAACACACTTTTTGACAACTGCAAGCTGAAGTGGCGGCGGACGATTAATATTGTTCGGATTATCACGGCCTTTTAAATTATGTATCCAAGGGTTGCTGCAAAGGTCCAACTCAGGTAGTTAAGCTATCTGACAAGCTCCTTGGAAAAACGTCGCGTGTCGGTAGTGTGTAAAACAAGGGGTACCACACATACACTTTTCGTTGCTGCTTGGGTTGTCGAATCCCGTCGGTTAGTTTCACAGTAGTCACTATTATTATTTCTGATTTTATTATAATTATATTATTTTAATATAATTAGTAAACGTGTCAATAAACGATAGGAAAGAAAAACATTATTTTAATTAGAGTAGAATTGAGTTGCGCTAATGGCCTGATGCCATGAGCGTAAAAAGATTTAGAGACTTCTACAGTGCCCACCAAGGTCTGTGGTCAAAAATTTCACAAGTAAAAATATTGTCTGTACCTAACATAAAATATTACATTTACGTATAATTTCATTGTGAAGTTGCGTGTGAGTTTATGCAAACTATTTTAACGATTCTCTATTAATGTCTTATCACGTTATTGGCTTTTAAAATTATTGGCGGATTATTCAATTACTTTAGGATACATTTCGCTCCCCTCATAGAAGAACGGCGTAAGTGAAGTTTCGTCAAAACTGTTTATTGCTCCAATGAATACGATGATATTGACGTCGACAATATTAATCGATAGAGTTACAAGAATTGGAGAGGATGTAGGTTATATTTTTCTGTATCCAATGAAGCAATGAACATTTTTGACGTAACTTCACTTATGCCATTTATCCATGAGGAGTGCAAATATACTAATTCGGGCCACTTTTCTCCACTCTACCGTAAAATGAAAACTTTTAATGACTCACGTAATAAGTACACACGGAAAGTATTATTATTAGGGTGGCTTCGTCCAGGGTAACTGATCTGCTTTGATCACCTCTAATTACAATTCAGAGCCAAGGCCAACACTAGTAGCAGTAGAGCTCCATGTGAAAGAGTTTGCCCAGGGTTCCAGGGTTAGTACTGGTTATGAAGGGTAAGGGTGCTGGTGAAATAACGGGTATATGGGACTCGTAAACTTATGTTTCAGGGTAACGGGTGAAGTGGCATTGCCCTCAGATCGTTGCGACTTAAAGTTTTAAATCGTACTGGAACTGCTATGGATAGGCGTGTACCAGTATCATTAGGTGCACGACTTGTTCGTTCCATCTTGGTATTATAAAAAAAAAACAGTGCTAAGGAACTGGAACATTTTCCTGGCTTCGACTGTTTTGATGCCCTGTGCATGTGCCCTGTGCCCGCCATTATAGAGCTTCCCACGCCCATCAAACGGGAAGTTACAACTATTTTAAGAGTTGACTTACAAGAGTTTGTACTTGTGTTATTTTGGATATTTGGAATCTTTATTTTTTTATTTTTTTACTATGAATTAAATTCAAGATCCAGATTTTAACGCATGTTACCTTGCACAATTGCTATACTCGTATTCGCCAGTAATAGTATGAGATATTGTATACAAATTTTTAAAGACAATACAATTTTGTGTATGGATTTCTTTTATGTTATCAGGTGATGGGACGAACAAGTCGTGGACCTGATAGTAGCGACATACCTGTCCACTGCGCCCGTCACCCTGAGACATAAGTTCACAAGTTCCTTGTGCCTGTAATTTCGCCAGCACCTTCAAAACCGGCATGCAGTAGTGCTTACATTACTGCTTGGCGGCAGATATAGGTAAGGTGGCAGTACTTCCCTGGACGTATTCTTTCACAAGGACCTCTTTTGCTATTAAAATGGATGTGACAGTGACGTACTTAAATAAATAAATATAACTTTCGACTTCTTTAGGTTTTCGTAATTATATTGGTAATGAACCTTTTTTAGATTTAGGTCCCCAAAAAAAAAAGTTCAATACTTTCATATCAATATTAACTTAATTAAATTTTTACATTAGGTACTTGTAGTTCTTTTTTTAAATGTCTTTCAATAAATCGAAGGTCGCATTGCACTCATTTATTCAACGATGTAAGTAATCCGATGTTTATCAGCTTGGAGTGACTTAAAAGGCTTGACAAGATATCGATCGATTGTCTGGGATACCCATTGATTATGATTGATCCCATTTTAATTATTACAAAATTCAATTCTACGACTCTGTATTTTAAATATTGATTGTAAAAAGATCACGTCACACAAGGCATTAAACGAATGTTGCTAATAGAGCAAAGGAGGTAGATATATCTTCATTATGAGTAATAATTAAGGTTTTAGTAGCAACAGAGCTCTTTGAAGATTACATCTAAGCTTGCTGCAGTACTGCTTTATCTGTTTCTGCTACCAAGTAGTAATGTGAGTATTACCGCGTTTCGGTTTTGAAGAGTAAGGGTTCCTGGTCAAATTACAGGCACATGAGACTCGTTAACAGTCTCTTAAGTCGTCTTAAGGTCACAGGTACAGTGGCAGTGCCTCTCAAATCTTTTCCACCATTAACACGGCTTGTTCATCCCGTCATTTGGTATCATAACAAAAAATCCTAAAAACTGGGAAAAATAATATAAGTAGGGATTAAGAAGAAAGCTAAAAATGTTGTGCACGGAAAGTATAAAAATGGCATAATGGAAATAAATGACATTTTAAGTAAATAAATATATGTACACTTTATAACTTCGATTTTGCAGAATTTATTAATTTATTATTGACATTAAAATGTATATACTCAATCAACAATTTTTATGAGACTAGAAAATAATTTCATTTAAGTAATTATCGTAGTATCTAAGAATATTTAAGGGCAAACTTTAGAAGGTAAGATGACGTATACTAGTGGTGATTCAGAGTTTTTCATTGACGTTTGAATGCATTTGATGATATTACCATATACATTAAAGTTATTGGATTCTGTAACACTTGTATTATTGGGTTGTGCAGGTTTGGATGTAATTTCTTCAACTGCCGCTTTTACAGGTGTTTCTTGCGAAGGACTAGATGGTAGTGGTTTTATTTCTTTGACTTCAGCCAATTGCTCGCCTTTATCCGCACTGTTAATTGATTCTTGTCCCTTTTCGCTATTTTTCAGAGGTTCAAGTAGTGGCGCTGAAACTTTTTTTTTATTGTTTTCTTCAACAGAACTTATTACCTTTCCCCGTAAGAAATTAGTAACAACAGCTCTAAACCTGAAACGTTATAAACTTTGAATTTTTTCGTAAATCTTTTTCTGTATAGACAAGAGTCACGAATAATGTTTATCTATCACAAAATATACAGCTATTTATTAGTTTTAACTAACCCTTTTAAATCGTCCGCAGTATATTGTACTTCACGTACATAACCATCGGGCTGGTCAATTGAGTACTGTCCACGAACCTTTCCTCCCTCACTGACTTCATATTGAGATTTTTTATCCCCAGTTCCGTCATCAAATACCACATAGGAATATCCGTAGTTTGTGGAACCCTGAAAGTCCGTATTCGAATGGTAATTTTATTATTAATTATTTTTAATTATTAATTTATCCTCGTCACCATCATCATCAACCCATATGTACGTCCCATTGATGGGCACGGGTTTCCTCTTAGGCGAGGGTTAAAGCCACAGTCGGTCACAATGGCCCAATACGGGTTGGGAACTTCACACATTTTCCGAGAGTTGTGAACCTTCGTGCGATGTGGTTTCACCACGATGTTATTCTTCACCGAAAAACTTATGGTAAATTTCAAATTAAATTAAATTTCGCACATAAATTCAGTAAATTTTGATGAAAAGCGGTAGATCCAACCGTTGGGCTACAACGTTTAACTATTATTCATCAAGTTAAATTAGCATTAAAATTTAACTGTAAATATACGTATTGGCCCATCTGGGGTCAGAACCAGAACTTGTAAGGTTTCTTATGTGCGCACTAGGGGCCTACCACAACCTCTAAAATCAATATTACTTTAACCTTACATTGACTTTTCGTACCATGACGCGCTTAAAGTAAGCTTATTATAATGTTAAAACTATAATATTTTATTGGCAGCTTTGTGATAATTTATTCACTCAGTTTGTACTATGAGGCAACTTTAACATTAAAGTAATATTGTTCATAAGTCAAATTTAGCAATCTTAAAGTAGTTACTCGGATGGAAACAATATTATTTTCGAATTTATTGTCTATTGATTTGTAAGGATTAAAAGTTAACTTTAACTAATTATTTACATAAATCTCTTAAATACTTTGTTTATTTTTTATTTAATAGTACATAGGACATCATCGTTTGTCATTAATAAAAATACTGGATGTTTATTTCGTAAAATTATGACAGCGACATCTATAAGCTCTTAACAGTTGAGACTAGACTATAATTCCGAATTCACAACGTGACAATCAAGACTCAGCTTGTTTTATTTATTTTTTTTCAAGAAAATGCGGAAAAATGATTGAAAACAACGTAATTTTAATAGATTTTACTATTATTTACTTTTCTTTTTTAATAGTTAAAATTCTCTGAATGTAAATAACATTAAGTACTTAAACATTATACTACGAGAAGACGATTTGGAACTTCAAAAAAAGAGATGGCATTATATAGTTCATATAGCATTGTTTCTTTCCTATTATTAGTAAGTAATAGACAATATTAGGAAATCATTCGGTCTTTTAATCACTTTAGCAATAATACATTACTTGGTTGACAGGTTTGTCATGGTACCAATATGAGTAATATTCTATTAAGCTTATCAAGCTTACATTGAAATAAGATTGTTTTTGGAAAGGTTATGGTAGGCCCCCAGTGCCCTTCTCGTATACCCTAAGGGTCGGTACGGACGGTCACTATAATCAGAACTAGTACAGAAAAATATGGGGCTGTAAGTATACTTACGTCGTCCGTAGGTTTATTTGGTGGCTTATAAGCCACAAGATTGGCATTGCTAACCGGTTGACTTGGACTGATACAAGGCACAGGGCAGGGTGCTACTAAAGTTGTAACTGGCAGTACTGGTATTACGGGAGGTAATGTTAAAGGAGCCAGTTGAGCTTGAGAATTTTTGTTGGCCCTTGGTGCATCAACTGCAGGAGCTTCATTTGTACCAAGTTGGAAGTAAACATTTGAATACGATGCCGCCAAAACACTTCCAATAGTGTCAATACAAAATAGAACCGTCACTACATTCTGAAATAGAATTAATCACACGTTTAGAATACTTATTTTTTCCTATGCTCTGTCATCCATGTCAGTTTCGTTACTTTTGAGATAAAAGTAAAGTTAAAATAAAGTTTTTTTTTCTTTGAAAAATCTCAATTATGCAGATTTTGTTTAATAATGAATATGAAATTAAATAAGATATAAAAAAACCCGCTTATAAGAGGTTGTAGATCTCGTTCGATTCCAGATCGTCATAACTCAATTTTGTTACAAATGCCGATTACGTTAGTTATTAATGTTTTTGAACTTACTCTTAGAATCATGTTTCCTGATGATCGATGGTACACGACTGATATTTTTTTCAAATGTGTCGTCTTTTATAAAAGCGCTTCGCTTTTAAAATATGCTGTTCGGTAATACCGAAACAAACCATCAATGTCGTTAGTAGATGAATACAGTTGAACAATTATAATGCTAATGAGGTTTCAGCGCGGAACAGTGACTTCTTGAATTCTGATCACGCGAGTGACAAAAGTGCATAATCAGCGTGAATTTGGACATTGTTGTAGGTGGCATGGTCAGTGTTTGTGCGCAACTTATGTCACTTCAGGAAACTGTATTTATATATGAACTACGACTATTTATAAAGATATTGATTTTTGGGTATTCATAGAAATGATTGTGTAACTGTACTATCTACTTAAATCAAGAGAATTCGGCAATGTATACATTAAATCCAAACGCAATACGCCGACTGGCCAAATCCTTTCGCCATGATGGCAAGTGTTGTACCGCTGAATCAATTTTGATGAATTTTGGTACAGACACAGATAGGACCTAGAAAAAGGACATAGGTTACTTTTAGTTATAATAATAAATCTTAAAGGGATTGAAATAGGGGATGAAAATTTGTATGGAGAACCAACAAAGGCTATGAAAATTAGTATAGTACAGTACTCGAAGTTCTTTTTAAATAATATTAAGTAACGGGATGAACATATCGTGCGCCTGATGGTAAGTTACACGCCTGTCCATAACAGTTGCAGTGCCACTCAGAGCTTTAAATCGCAGAGATCTGAAGGGCGCTGCCACTGTGCCCGTCGCCCTGAGACATTTATTAAAATTTCAAGACCGGAACACAATAATGCTGACGTTACTGCTAGGCAGCAGACATAGGGAAGGTATCAGTACTACCCTGGATGAACTCTTTCACAAGGAGCTCTACTGCTACTAAAGTATTTATTAAGTACTTATTCTATGCAAACAAAGTCGCGGGCACCAGCATATTCTATAATTTTAAACTAAATATGTATTACTTCGAGTACATTCTACAATTTACATTCTTGGCCTTAACAGAAACTATTAGCGCTTATATTTTTCGATGCTTCACTATATTTGCAGCACTAAAAATGTAAGGCGCTTGGTGTTCATGTTTCAATCTCGTTATTCAAGACAAGTAGTTCCCATTAAAGGAAAAGTTGTACAAATAGCCAATTTAGTTATTGCATTACAAAACATTTGCTTTTGATTTACGTTCAAAGTGTGATGCGTCGTAGTTGAGTTATTTAGTATTTTCTGTGAATTTTTAGGCTACATTCAATCATTAATTTCTTTAAGAAAATCTCGTACTGTTTTCGTCAAGTTCTAATTCTAAAAATAAACAGAGAAGATATTTATCTGTTTTAAAAGTTATATTTTAACATAAATACATGAATAATAAATTTACTAAATATCGCAACAGGCTAAAATGTTTATATATCATGACCATCACATAATTATGTCATCTGAGGATTTAAAAAAAAAGTAATATTCTCGTGCTATTTTTTGATTTTGAAACGTCACAGCTTTTTTACTTTATTTTATACTAAGATGAAATTTAGAGTTGTCAAAATTGTTATTTTAATTATTTTATTTTTTTGTACGACTTTAGTTCAGCACCTCGATTCCGTTTATGTCTTTCGTATGGAAAAATAGTTCTCCCATTGTTTAAGTGAAAGTAACATAATATAATAAATAATTATGATATGGTGCCATTTAATTTCATTGACGATTTATCAGGTCATATCTAATAGCTAGGATGTCTAAAGTGATAGGTGGTATTGCATTTTGCGAATGTGACAAATCTGACAAATCAGACAAGAATTAAATTAATAACCTTTATTGGGCGCTATTATGAACTTAAAACCTTTAAGGATGTATTAGTACGTATCTCAATTTTATTACACACGTTTTTATCAATTTATTTTACAAAGTTCGTCTCGTCTCCACTCCTGTAAGTTTCGAAACAAATTTAGCGGACCAAGAAAAAAAACTGTTTCCACTGCAAGCACTCTATTAAAATTATCAATCCATTGTACACAGTATTTTTCAAATTTGAGTTAAATATTACTTCTATATTGAATGTGCAAAGTCGGTGCAATATAAAGATACATTTTTGTGTACATGTAGTGTATACATATGCGCCAATAGATAATATTATTATTTTACAATACGATCTTTTAAATACGAGTGTGACTTCGGCACGGAGAGCACTGAGTGGGCACTTCTGTGACTCATATGAGGCTACAACTACAGTTGTATTTTTATGTAAAATTTAGTTAAATTGTGTACCAAGGTTTTTACTGTATTTCTATTTGTGAGAAATTAAAGTTGGCTTTTAGTTGTTATTATTATTTAATTTAGTTTGACGTTGGTTTTCCTATTAAATAAATGATTGAATAAACAACATGTCTAGTGTAGTTTAGTCGTGTCATGAAAATTTGTATGCAATTTTGACAAAGTAAGAATAGAGCCCCTTGTAAACAGCTCGTCCAGGGATGTACTGACACGTTACCTATTTTTGCCGCCAAGCAGTAATGTGAACATTACTGCGTTTCGGTTTTGAAGGGTAAGAGTGCTGGCGAAATTACAAGCACATGGGACTTGTCGACTTATATTTCAGGGTGACGGGCGCAATGTCAGTGCCCCTCAGATCTTTGTTATTTAAAGCTCTAAGTGGCAATGCAACTGTTATGGACAAGCGTTTCACTTACCACCCGTGCGTCTGGTGTCGTTCTAGTTCTTTCTGTCATTTGGTATCATAAAAAGAACAAAACATACAAACCATAAGGGCCCGAATAGACACGATTGATTGGTTTATATCTGCTTCCATCCTATAAATAAGTTATTGCTGCTAACGACTACTCGTCCATCCCGTGACTTGGTATAATAAAAAACAAGTTTGCTCCTCATTCATTTATTTATTTATTTATTAAACTTTGTGCAGGTTCATTTATTTGTGATTACAGATCAACATGTTTCCACGTCCAAAGAATAATTTTACAATTATATTACTTTCGAATCTTCTACATACACTATATCATCCATGTTTTGTAGAAAGGCCGAAAGCGCCATTTCGAAAAAAGTTTCGGGGCCTGTTTTAGTTTTCACGACTGTTTTAAAATATTTACATCCTGTTTTTAATTCAATTTTAAAACTTAAACTTAATGAAAACCGAAATTGAATTTTAAACAGGATGTAAATGTTTAAAATAGTCGTTCTAACGACCTAAAACATGATCCCCTGAAAAATTTTTCGAAATGTTGCTGACGTCCCTTCAACAAAACATCGAAGATATATACATTAAACTATGCCGTTTAAATATTTTCTACACTATTTAAACTGTAAGAAAAAACATCATGAGGAAACTTTAATGTCCAAGAATATTCAACCTTTGAAGTATAGTGTTTTTCAACAAGAACTTTGTTTTGTAAAGTAAAATAAAACAATAAATTTAGATGACAATGATTCAAATTTTTATTGTATAAAAAATGTAAGTTTTGGCAATTATGAATGAAAAATTATATCTGATAAATGTCCACCATGACCACAGTTACAGACGTCGATTCTTTCATCAAAGTTTTTAATCACTTTTTGACAAAATGGTGGGTCTATTTCGTTAATCACTTCACGAATTTTGAGTTTTATCGATTCGATTGGCTCGGTATAGACTCTGTCTTTAACATAAGCCCATAAAAAATAATCCAGCGGTGTTAAATCACATGATCGAACTGGCCACTTAACGACTGAATTTCGTGAATTTATGCGATCGGGAAATTTGGTTTGCAATAAATTAATTGTATCCGTGGCTATGTGACTTTTAAATTAATTATTCCGTGTACGTGAGATTAAAGCTCTGAGTGGCACTGTAACTGTTATGAACAGGCATGTAACTTACCGTCAGGCGCACGACTTGTTCATCCCATCAGTTAATGTTATAAAAAAGTTTGTAAAAACGAAATATCGAAATATAATTCCACATGACTACGCGTATATGTTACGCGTGTCATAGAATGCCTTAATTGACACACATTTGTGGAACACGTTGTTGGTTCATATTTATTAATCTTGCTCGTTCAATGATGGTTCAATGTTTTTTATTTGCTTAGTATAAAACTGTTTGTGTTTATCTGATAAATAAAAAATAATAATAATAAAAAAATGTAGCTAGGGAAAATGAAACCCATTTTTTTTCTAACAGTTTATTTCGCCGCAGTCTTGAAAACACGAGTATCGTCGACTAAAGACTATCTAAATAAGTATTAAAGGTATTAATATCACATGCAAGCAATGGCCTCTAGCCTAGAATGACGCCTAGTGGAACTCATGGTGCGGTGCCGTGTTGTGGACTATCGCGTTGAAACTGTAAAAGAAAATTTACTATTAGAACTATAGGTAATAATAGAAAATGGAAAGGAAAAACGTTTATCTCTTTCTTCGTAATATCCAGTAACAATAAAGTTGGAACTTTCAAGTAAGTATTATCTACCTGTGGCAGGAAGGTCCGCTCTTCCATTTCTCTTTAGTAATAGAAATAAATTTACAAAAATACTAACTCACTGACTCTAATAAACTAATATAATAAATTTAATAACTTACATAGACAATATTTAAAAAGCAATTAGAGCATTTGAAAATGGAACTCTTTGACTGTAGAATACAGTTTGTTTCATCTGACTGTCACTTATTTTTACATTGTGGCGTCATTTTAGAAATTATGTGTCTACATCACCATGGATTTAACTCGTGAAAATTTTCGTAGTATAATTTTCTACGACTTTAAGTGTAATTTAACAGTTCAGCGGAGCTTCGCTCGCCTTCAAATTGCTTTTGGCGATGAAGCACCATGCAAGACGACTATTTATAGCTGGTTTGCAGAATTTAAACGCTCGTATGAGTCTCAGTGACGAATTTCGCGATGGTCGCCCGTCCACTGCTGTGAACAACAAAAACATCGATGCTGTGCGCCGTATGATCAAAACAGACAGGCATGTGGCACACCATGAGATTCGGTCATCTTTAGGCATAGGGATGAGTCAAATACAATCAATACTACACAAACATTTGGGTGTGAAAAAGCTGTGCTCTCGGTGGATCCACACAATTTGAATGAGGTTCAATAAACGGATCGCGTCACTTGGTGCTCTACTTCTACTTAATAACAGTGCTCATGCAAAGAACAATTGTAAAACAGTTAGCATAGAAGTTCCTTTTAATGTAATTACGTTGGCATTTGAAAGCATAAAGAAGCAGCATATTTATCTACAAGGACGTATTAAGAACCAAACCTCTAGGCATTCAGATAATGAAAGGTACGTAAGTGTTGAAAGATCGCGCATGATTTTGTCCCTGCCGTTATTACTAACTAGATCTCACGAGTATACGAACGTAGATCTAGGTCACGATTGTCTTGCACACTAATGTAAACGATACGTTTAAGTTTTTGTATTATGAACATATTATATACACGATTTCTTAAGGTATCGCACAAGGTGAGTGTAGCGAATGGAAGCAGTCGCTACAAATGTCTTTCGTATATATTTTTATATAGTTTTTTTTTAATTTTTAATTGAATTGATATTCAATTATTTTTTGTGAAATTATTCCACTAGTTTGTTATAATTATTAATACAAAGATCGAACACTCAGAAAAAATTCCTACGATCCGGCCGGATTCGAACCGACGTCTTCTAGCTTACCGTGCCAGACGCTATACCAACTAAGCCACGGAACGAACCAGCGGAACTCACGAATTCTTCTATGTTATCATCATAGATGGAGCTACGACTAAAAAGTCGTTAAAAAACCAAGTACAAAGATACGACGCAAACACATAGAAGAATTCGTGAGGTTCGCTGGTTCGTTCCGTGGCTTAGTTGGTATAGCGTCTGACACGGTAAGCTAGAAGACGGATTTTTTTCTGAGTGTTCGATCTTTGTATTAATAATTACAGTTTTTTTAAGTTTAGTTTTATATTTAAATTCTGAATTTAAATGTGTTTGTTTTTGGCGCCTTTTCTTCACTATTGTTTCCGTTTTTGGATTGATACCTGTACGTCTTTTTTAATAAATTAATAAACTGTATGTATATTTACTTTGGTCTTGCTCATTCGTTGATAGCACTAGCCGAACCTATGATACAGTCCGCTACAGTGAGAATATAAATTTACCTAGGTCATGTTTTTTATTTAAGTAATTTTCATGTTTAGTAGTAAAATAACACATATTCGAATAAAAACTTCCATTGACAATAATAAATTACTTTTTAAGCTATTTTAACAATTTTAGTGTTGTATTTATTCTTTATGGTCCAATTTTTTTTAATGTGCCAGACAACCGCACCAATAAGCCTGGTATTAAACTCGGGAATTCCCAGTACTGTGGGTACCAGAGTAACGGAATTCACACTGGGGTACATCCCATAACACCCAGAGCAGAATCAAATTAGAAACGTTCATTTCCCAAATTGGTCCTACCGGGAATCGACCCTGGGACTTCCTCGTCCAGCGGCCACAGTTTAAGCCGTTGGGACATTGAGGTTGTTAATGTGCGGTCCCATGTACAACCTACGATTAACAAATAGATTTAAAAAAATAATAACGATATTTTTTCAGAATATTTATTTTGCATAGTGTTATAATCTTCCTAAGTTTCTATATTTATTACGAGTATTATTACTGTTTACAATTTATTTTCATTTTTATCCCTAACTTACTCGAATCACTACTTAGCAGTAAAGGCGCGCACGGACCACATAAAAGCCGCCTGTTGTACATTAGCTTACTCTGTGATACTTACGTTAATATTCCGTGTTATCATTGTAATTTTTATATGTGCAATAAATAATATTTCATTCAGTTCATTCGTTCAATAACAATAAAAATCTTACCCGTTGTGGTCATCAGCAGTATAAGTGACTTTCCTGAAAGAGCCGTCAGGCTGCAGCAGGGAGTATTCTCCTTTCACGACGTCACCGTCACGGGCCTCGTGCTGGGTCTTGTGGTCACCAGTGTGGGGATCGGATACTGAGTACGAGTAGTCGTATTTCGGATGGGCCTGGTACACACACAAGGTAATTATTAACTCATGGTCATGTATCAAGCAATTTCTTTAGTAAGTTACGTTATCCTTATTATATTATCAGAGTCAATATTGCGTATTTATTCTAACTCTGGTTTGAATATTTTTGACTCAAGATCCAGAATATTTAAAGGATTAGTAACTCGCTTAACACTTACATAGGTATTCACCCAAACCCAATTCGTTTTTGTAATTAGTAAATTAGTGGGAATATTAATTAAGTAAGGAAATTATTAGCAAATTGTGAACAATAGATCTTTCTTGTTACTTTATAATGACGTGTCTACATAAGTAATGTTACAATCTAGTACAGAACTTATATTATACTTAACTCTTACAAAGTAATTCGATTGTCATCTGTTTTGTTGTCCATATAATAAATAAATAAATAAATGCGACTTCTAAGTTTTTAGTTCACTATTACATTTAATTTAGGAACCGTAGATATTGCAAATGGTGAAATGACAGGCACATGGGACTTGTCAACTTATGACTCAGGGTGACGGGTGCAACCACCGGGGTGAGTGGCGAATTTTAACGGGATCCCACAGGGTGTATACACAGGTTTTTAGTGGGTAGGGCTCCGAGGATCCACCGAGCGTGTTTGTATCCCCGGGTGGATCAACGGAGATTCCCACATAACCCCGCCATGTCATCGCCCGCGGGGAGTATGCGTAACGCATTTTCCTGTGTATAAAAAAAAGGTGACGGGCGCAGTGGTAGTGCCCCTAAGATCTTTGCGATCTAAAGCTCTTAATGCCATTGCAATTGTTGTAGATAGGGGTGTCGCTTTCCATCAGGCGCACGACTTGTTCGTCTAATGGTTTGACCCACTGCGGTAACCTATCATAAACTCGAATTTTTTTCCGAAATAACGTTTGTTCCAATTTTCATTACACCGAAAACCAAATTGTAACGAAACCGTTGTTCTTTCAGAATATGTTGGATGTTTATCGCAAAGACACGATTAGGTTAGGTTAGGTTAAGTTAGGTTTCAAAGAAAAATATTTCCACCTCGTCAAAAAAAAAGAAAAAAAAAGGTTTCAAAGAAAAGACATTTTCCTCTCTAAATTACTTTCGAGGTTATGAAAATTCGAGCAAACATTATTTCTGGAAATTGCCATTTCGGACTACTGATAGGTAACTCCTACCGCCTCTCAAGCAGCGGCCGTGGGTTTGAATCTGAGTTTCTAGGAATTTATGTGCCAAATTTAATTTCAAATTTACCACGAGTTTTTCTGTGAGGGAAACATCGTGATGAAACTTGCACATCGAAGAAGGTTTACGACCCTCGGAAAAAGTGTGACGTTTCAAATCCGCATTGCGCCAGTGGGGCGGACGACAGACGGCCTAAAACCCTGACTGAGAGGAGACCCATGCCCTGTAGTGGGATGTACAAATGGGTTGATGATGATGAGATATTGCAAATTGTTGACTTTTTATGAAATGTGAAATATTTCATAAAGTTTATACATGGTTGTAGTCTACAGATCAATTTAACATTTACTATGCCTCATGTTTCCAGGAATTATGTCGTTAATATTTATTATTTATTTGTATTCCCACTAAAACGGATTTACGCGACTTGTCAAATGGTTTACGCAAGTGGTATTGAGGTCAAATCCACATCCAGTCATCCGCCATTAAATGAGCGTGCTGTCATGCGCCAGTTTATGCAAATGATCCGTTTTCCACTGTATCATGACTATCATTATGATACTTAGACACAAGATACTTAGATTTTTGCAATTGGTATACATTGGAAATGAAGCTAATTTATTCCCTGGTCTAAAATTGCGTATATTTATTTTTTCGAACAAACTAACGTTTTGGGCTCTTTACAGGTCCTATGGTCAAAGTTGAATCTGACCTGTGGAGAACTCGAAACAAATTGACAGAATAAGAAATAAAATTGTTTATAAAATACTTATTTATAAGTATTATAAGTTACATTAATTTATGTCAATTTTAAAAGAGGATATTGATAGTGTCGTAAAGTTTATTTCTTTACGAAAAAGAGAGGTTTTAAGTGATTTGAAGTTTAATTTAAACAACAACAAAGTTTAAAATGAAAGCAAAGAAAGGGATCTCTAAATTGATGGAGATTTGATGGTAATAATAGTTTTAAGTATTGATTCAAATTAAAAAAACCTAATTAATAAAAAAAATGAAATTCTAAATGTTTAAATTACACACAAGAATGAAAAATAAACAGAACTCAACGTTTCAATTTCTCTATTAATTTTGTAAAGTTTATACGAAGTTAACAAAGGTAGCTTGCAGGCGCGAATGTCGCAAGGATCCTGGGAACGGAGCCGTTATCGGCCCTTCAGTCACGACTAGGATATACCTAAGAGCGAGGCATGCAAAGTGTTATGTAATTCGGACTACACCAAATCGGTTCTCGCAGCGCATAATTTATGACAAAACTGTAAAGAGCGACTTTAATCAACTTAGCATTTGCACGTAGATCGTGATTTGTTTTTCTTCGTAACCTTTAATTTTGTAGTAGAATTTTAGTACTGACAGCCGACCAGTATAAAGAATTTCATATTGCAGCTTGTCTTTTAAAGACAATTCAAACAGACTTACAATGATAGTTGTTTTGTGATAGTTACGTTTTTTGTACACACAAGTATGAATATACGAGTAACAGATGAATGAACATTAAAAATTTGTTAATAAATTGGGATATTGAATTATAATTTTAAACTATGCAGTTATATTGATAGACTATTTGACTGGTTGGAAGTTGGACTTATTTTACATTTCAGAAGAGAATTATTTTTGGTTGGTTGGATCTGGGTGCGCAGCGTGATTGGTATGATCAAGTAAAGTCTTATCCTTCAGTTTCTCAGAAGAAACCACTTGTATATCATTGATAGTATAGTACGAAAAAACCACTTGCGAAGATTCAGTAAAGTCAATTTTGTATGGCAGTCATCTTGAATTCGTCATATTGGATTTTTTGTGCCTGTACAACCCGATTTGGAAATCTCGTAAGCGTCAAAGAGAGAAAATATAGATCTTCGAAGAAAATTCACAAATGCCTATACAGAAATCAGCATGGTATGTGAATAAAGTTCCCCAGAAACCGATATGCCATAAAACAGCAATTGATTGTATTTTTTCAAGAATCTACGATGCGTAGGTATGTACATCTTGGTATTTACGTATAGGAAAAGTTTTTGGGAACTTGTTGGTTACATAGAATAATGACTCGTAATGTGGCATGTAATGCGGGTAAATAGCAACTCTAGGTTCATAACTTGTTTTGCATGATTACGTTACTCCAGTTTCTTGCGAGGAAGTTAAATAATTGTTTGTATTTCATAGACCTGCTTAGTGCTCAAACTGTCATAGTGATGTAATAAGGGTATTTCGTACTGTAGCTGATATTTTAAGGTCTCAAACAGCTTCTTAAAAATATAAGACTTTGTAAGAACGCGTTTGAGACTTAAAATAAAGCTACCTAATTGTTTTTAAATTAGATCGACTGTCATAGTTCATAATATATTGGTTATTGTAACAAGCGCCTAGTGTGCTGTAGATTTATATCGTATCCCGGAAACTGCGACGATTGTGTTAGATCAAGAACTAACATTTCGTTTATGCAAGCTATCAATTAGGTTATATTTGCATTATGAAACGTTGTTACACGAGGGAAACAAAAACAGCTTTGGTTGCTTCATTTGGTTGCAGCTCCCAAATTAGCGTATTTGTTTAATGTTACAGTTATAATTATGCGAAAAATTGCGCTGTGTGTAACGCGTTACAATTTCGAGTCGGTTATTTGATATTGCGTTGCTTGATGCGTGTATGCCCTTGGCCGCATTGCTTGAAAAAATTCGTGTATTATAAATATTATGCGTAGCAAAATCGTAATTATCATAATCTCTGCGACGATGACGATATGCACGCTCTCATTGCTTCCATGAACGTACATTAGCCAAAGGTATTTTAAAGTTGGACGACAATGCGGAATCTGGTGCTTGGTAGTTAGTGATTTGGAAATAATTGGCGCTATAAAACTCTTCCTGTGATGTAGGCCACGCATGAAACGTGGTGAAATGTATGAAACAAATTAAATTAGTACAACGTTGCAAATGTTATTATTGGTGTTATATTCATCCACAGACGTGTTCAATAATTTTACAAAGGAGTATTTCGTGTTTGTACGTTGAGTTTTCAAATTTTGGCAATTCCGAAATTTTTCTTTTTTTTTTGCTGCAGTTATATCACAGAGTTGTATTGAATTTTATTAACCCAATATTAATCGTAGCATATTAATCGTAGCAATTAGTGGGAATAGACTTATGACAATAGTCTCACATATAGAATTTCTTAGTATCTTTGAATGCACGAAATAAGAATTAGTGTCCTTAAATTTTTATACAATTGATATTCAATTATTTTATGTGAAATTACTCCACTAGTTTGTTATAATTATTAATACAAAGATCGAACACTCAGAAAAAAATCCTTCGATCCGGTCGGATTCGAACCGACGTCTTCTAGCGCTTATTAGTATGCTTTCTGAATATAAATACGATCATCTCTTACCTTTTAATGCGAGTCGTAGGAATAAATCTACCGAGATAGGCAACAAGAAACAAACTACAACGTTAATGTCATAGCTATTCCGCGGCACAATTTCTAAATCTTTGTAGGAGATTTTAAGTTTTAGGAGGTGCTTGCAATTGTAGTCAAGTACAGCATAAATTCCTATCAACGTGTCATGCTTGTAGGAAGATTACGGTTCCATAGACATAATAAGTGAAATATAAGACTGACAGTGTCTAGTGAATGTTCATACCAAAGATCATAAAAGAGAAAGAGCATAAAATAATGGAGTTCATTGACCTGACTTGGTAGATATCAATTTATCCAGGGAGTTTGCGTTTCTAGCAAGTAACTCACATGATAATCAACGTGATGGTCCTCATGTCCTCCATAGTGTGCGACAGGGGCATACGCAACACCCTCGTGTCCGTAGCCCGCCAGCTGCACCACGCCGGCCGATGCCAGCGCCACCATGGACAACACTATTGCGGTCTGCAATTTTTACATGCGTTAGAATAATAATACCGGTTCCCTGAAGAACGCTTTAATAATAAAAATTAAGTTATATCTCCCTATTATGGTATGAATAAGAAAAGCCCAACTTGAAAAGGTTTTTAAATGAAGTCAACTGAAAAAAATCAAAACAAAGTTTATGTAAAGTATATTATATATATATAGCAAAAACTTTTGAAAAAATTTTGATACTGTTGCTATTAATATATATAATGTTATTAGAAATTATGTGGTACTTATGCCATCCTAGATATTTAGATTCTTCTTAAAAAGTATTTATAAGCTCTTTCAATACTTTAGAGAACTATGTCGTATACTCCAGAAAATGTAAAACGCTTGGAGCGATGGTAAGCAATCCTTTCACTCAGGAGTATCACGAGCACTTACTTTGGCGATCATATTGTTTGAATAAGGTTTGCTTCGTCGGAACGACCACACACAACTGGTAGCGAAGACTACCACCACCGACTTTTATATTAGTTTACCCGGTGAGATCCTGTAGCGTCACACGCGCTCTATACGCAAGAATACGGTAGTTTGATAATGATACAGCAATTACGTAAACTTACGTAGCACGGTTCAAGGTGAAAAATTTACTGTTGATGTAAAGAAAGTAGATCATATATGTAGCGACGTATGTTCATTAATGCACGTTTTCTCAAAAATGAGACTATATACATGTTTTAAAACATTTGCCAAATTGCGATTACACAGTATTGTGTCAACTTTGCACCATTTTGGCGCAGAAAGGAGGTTTTTTAAGAAGACTACTATGATGAAGTAAAATGCAGGGTGGGCTTATAGTTAATATTCTCTACGTAAATAAAAATTATGCTGTCAATTTTAATTAACAAGTGTGCAATTACAAAAGTAAGCAAGTGTTTCAATGAAAATATTTAGTAGTATTAAGTAAAATAAGATAATGTTTACAAAATAGCATTTAACATAACATTATAGAAGCTTTCGTTAAAGGTAGCCCGGTAATTGTTATTCTAAGTGCAGTTTTGACTTGGCACAGTTAAAGGTTTTGATGTTGTGCTTTTACAATAAAGATTTCAATCTCGGTTTATGATCCTTTTAGGTTTCTCTATAAACAAGATAGTATGTTATTAAACGTGACTGTTGTTCAGGAAGGAATGCAGTGTGTACTAGTTAGATTAACAGTGTTGTTGTTTTAGACTTATTAAAATTGCTCAAAATGTTATTATGTGGCGTGATACAGCAGTAGAGCTCCTTGTGAAAGAGTTCGTCTAATGAAGTACGGCCACCTCACCTATTTATGCCGCCAAGCAGTAATGTGAGCATTACTGCGTTCTGGTTTGGAAGGGTGTTGGTAAAATCACAGGCACATGGGACTTGTCAACTTATGTTTCAGAGGGACGGACGTAGTGGCAATGCCCCAAGATCTTTGCTATTTAAAACTCAGAGTGAACTGAAACTGTTGTCGGTAGGCGTGTTGCTTACCACCAAGCGCCCGACTTGTTCGTCACTTGGTATTATACAAAATAAAATTCAGATGTCTTAGGTTATAGTTTTAATAACGTAGAATGAAGTTATAATCATTGTGCGGACTTCAATATGATTATGCTGATTTCATATCAGTGAAAGAAAGGCAATGCTTGGAATACAATCAAAATGCTGGTTACTGTCGGATACTGGCAGTCGGCAGTTGTAATGCTAGCAGCTGGAAGTTGTAGTGGGCTCTAGAATATATGAGCCAATAGTATTCAATTTTTGCATCAATGTTCTTAGTAAAAAATAGTTCTATAAAACTCTGGAACATGATGGTAAAGGGCCAAATTGCTTCAAAGGCTTGTATTTGCCTAAACAACATACGGTATTTTGAAAACAGCATCGCAGATTTTTGTGTAGTCTGCAACAGTAGCCTAAATACCATAAGCTCAGATTATACGATACAGCTTATTAGCATAGTAATGTTCACAAGCTGTGGTATTTTACAGTCTTCTAGTTGTGGAAAGGTTATAGTACAGAAGAGTTCATCGTTTATAATAATATATAGTAATAATAATAACGCACACACTCAACGTAGCCCCGCACTAGGTGTGTCCATGGCACCCTGTGTCGCGGGTGCCATGGACGTACCCGTAGACAACCACAAATTATACTCAAACTCACGAGATAAATAAATGTAGGCCATACAAACATTTCTTCCGGCCCGGGAATCGAACCTGGGATCTCTGCATGGCAGTCCGGCATGGTAACCGTTCAGCCACAGAGGCAGTTTAAAATTTATAAACCTTCGAAGTGCAGGTTTCATCACTATGTTTTTCTTCTTACGGTAAATTTCAAATTCAATTGTGCGAGTCCGGATTTGAAACCACGGCCTCTGCTTGAGAGACAATAGTTCAAACTATTAGGCTAGCGCGACAGAAAAGTCATCGAGTGTATATTATTTTGTATGGTTATCATTGTACTGTTTTATTATGACAGAACGTATAAATAACGCGCACACACTCATAGCCCTGCACTAGGGAAACGCATACAAAGACAACCACAAATTACACCCAAACTCACGAGAGAAATAAATGTAAGCCATACAAATGTTCTCCCGACACGCGAATCGAACCCGGGACCACTCGGCCACAGACGCAGTTAAGTAATTGATATGAAGATACTTTGTAATCTTGATTGAACAATTTTCTTATGTTTTTGATAATTAATTCTGCAATTTCATATTCATTATATATGTAGGCCAATTGAAAAAAGTAACGAGCGCGTTTGTTGTTTTAAAATTCATAATTTAATTATATAGATTAAGACATCAGTCAGTTTGTATTCTTGTACTGTAAGCCCAATTATCATCCATTGTGTTGACGTCTGAGAGAAATGTATTTTATTAATGAAACAAGTAAGATAAAGACTTCATTTATTAATTCTTTACACTATGCGTTCTTACTAGACTGGTTGATGGTATTATATGCTAAATGGTTTTAGTGGGAAATGGCATAAATACCCAGTCCAGAGTACCAGAGTTCATTCAAACTGGTCATATTTTAGTGATAGGAAATAGAGCAGTACGTGTTGCAGACAAGTATAATAATTTTGACGAACATGCATGCAATTGTAGTGGTAATTTAAATCCTGAAGTTACCGCAGCAACTTGACCTTGCAACACTAGACAATAAAATTGTGTATTTTCGTACGATGTGACTATTTTTGGTGTATACTTGTTTTCATATAAGACAACGCCAATGCAAGAAAATGATGAGTGATGAATGATTGCGAATACTTGTTATATTGGTCATCTCTTCAACTTTAAACATTGAAACTGTTAATCAACATTTTCAGTACAATTTATTGCTGGAGATAATGATCAACCTTGGTTTTCATATATACCACATAGTATAAGTAGTTATAAAGCGTTCAGTAAATTTTTAAATAGAGTTTACGGAGTATATATTGACTAATAATTTCGAATTATAGGTGAATAATGTTATATAGGATAATTATGCGAGATTTTTGGACGAGGTTATTATTAACGACGGTAAACAATTCACACACTGTACATATTACAATATGTAGAGAGAGTGCATTGTTTTATTTACATGTTTAATTCCTTTTTGTGATTTTTTCCTTCTAAGTCGTAGAGATGATCAAGTTTCGTAGCTTGATAATTTTATGAGTAATTGTAAATAAGCATAACAATATTTTCGCATATTAAAAAATTGCCATAATTACACAATATAAATTATTATACACACTCATAGCCCCGCACTAAGGAAACCCAGTAACGCGGGTGCAGTTAACACACATAGACAACTACTAATTACATCCAAACTCGCGAGAGCAGAGTAAGCCATACAAATAAGTTTCCCGGCCCAGGAATCGAACCCGGGACCTCTGCTTGGTAACTTTACGGTTACGGAGGCTGTTAAGTTATGTAATGTAGGCCCTGTGGCAATCTGTGCTAATATCAGTTTATCCATTTGCTAACTGAATCGACCTATATAAGTACATTTCATTTCTCATGGCTCTCCTGTAATTAAAGGTAGTTCACCATGTTAGCTCAATGTAGATACAGTTTTCTGATATTTTGGATTATTCGTATTTAAATTAATACTTAATAAGTGAAATTTTATTCATAACATTATTTTAAAACACAGAAAGTTTTTCGGCCTTTGTAAGTTGCAATCTACGAGATAATCGTGGTAGTGTAGTTACATAAATTTTGAGTTTCGTTTCCGTCATCTGATAAAATGTTGACGCAAGACTTCTCAAAGGGAACCAACGGCCTATAATATTGAGAGTAATTTACAACTGACCCCTGAGTTTGTGGACTTATGAGACTGGTTTTAGTCGTATTGTTATTTAAAAAAAAGCTAAAAATAAAAATAAAAATACGAGCGTCTGTTGTAAATCTTTAATAGCAGTTTTTTTTAGCTCCTTGTGAAAGAGTTCGTCCAAAGACGTTACCTATTTCTGCCGCCAAGCAGTAATGTCAGCATTACTGTGTTCTGGTTTTGAAAAGTAAGGGTACTGGTGAAATTACAGGTACTTGAGACTTTTTTCTGAGTGTTCGATCTTTGTATTAATAATTATAAGAAACTAGTGGAGTAATTTCACAAAAAATAATTGAATATCAATTCAATAAAAATTTAATTAATACAGTGAATAGCGACATCTCTCGCCAGGACTGGTAGCTGTAAAGGTACTAACTGGATGATAAATCTGTCATAGATTTCTCATAGATGGCGCTACGACTAAAAAGTCGTTGAAAGACCAAGTACAAAGACACGACGCAAGCACATAGAAAAATTCGTGAGGTCCGTTGGTTCGTTCCGTGGCTGTATAGCGTCTGGCACGGTATGCAAGAAGACGTCGGTTCGAATCCGACCGGATCGAAGGAATGTTTTCTGAGTGTTTTTTCTGAGTGTTCGACCTTTGTATTAATAATTATAAGAAACTAGTGGAGTAATTTCACAAAAAATAATTGAATATCAATTCAATAAAAATTTAATTAATACATGAGACTTGTCAACTTAGGTCTCAGAGTGAGGGACACAGTGGCAGTGACCCTCAAATTTTTGCGATTTAAAGTTCTGAGACGTGTACCTTACCATAAGGCATACCAAAAGGCGCACGACTTGTCCGTCCTGTTCGCACTTGATATTATATATAAAAATTATATAGATAAATAAATACTGTTTATAAAAGTGCCAATTAGTTACCCTTGTAAGGAATTATTGACGTAAGGTAACAAATCATTTTCAAACCGGTATTTGGCATTCAGTACAAGTATTTCCAGTACTGCGATTTTAGTAAAGAATTACAGATTATTAAATTGATTGCTTTCAGCGTAAATGGGACCAGTTAGTACTATTGTTTGTTTTTACAACCCAGATGGTGTAAGTAAGCAGTAATTAGCAATTACGTTACTCAACTTCACACGGCCGATACGAATGAATTGTGCTTCGGTGCGCGGGCCCCAACGCAACATCACCTATTCGCTTTCTGCAGACTAAAACACTCCAGTGATTTCCTGAATACTGACCAACCGTAAAATCGGATTTAATAATTAACGGCATAGGAAAACATTATTCACGTTCCACTAAAAATAGACCATTTTTCACTATTTTGTAAAAAAAAACCAGTGTGTTCCAGTTTTTAAACTAATTACGGCACCTGTCAGCACTTTTGAATGATGATTGCTGGTAAATTAATGACATTAACATGAAGTAGGCAAAAAATGCCATTTTTACCAGTACCAATTTGTTGATTCTGCATTTGATAACCAAATTTATGCATACTCAACGGTGATAAAATTAGCCTTAGCATTAGATTAATGTATAATTCTTTTACATATTTTAACATATATTGTAATGAAAAAGGATTAAGAGTATGAATATAACTAGTAGTTTATTTAAATTAATATCTTATTACAGTCGCAATATTGTTGTAAATTTAATGATGGTGGGCCAGTATGGGTACAGCATGGACTACGGGACCTGAGTGGACTATAGGGGTAGCGTGAACTGGGGGAGCAGGGGGAGCAGCTTGTGCGTTGGGGGCAGTGTTGTGTACTATCGCGTTGAATCTGAAATAAAATTGCAATCTTTGATTAAGTTATAATTATAAATTCTGTTCTGATGTTTAAGTTTAAGGTTCACACTTCGAATTTCGGCAATCTGCGCTGCATGGTTCGATGACAGCCGTAAACTGTTGTTCGAAAAACTAAACATACTTCCTTTGTCATATATGTACAGTAGATGCCCTGTGATATCTGACTTTTAGCCGACATTTTGGTTCTGATGGCCAAAAAAGCAAAGGTTAGAGGAATTCCAGCTTATATATTAAACATCAAATTGGTTTAAAACGTTTCTTAAAACGTCATTCATTAATAATGCAATTAGGAAGTCATATTAAAATGAATTTTACAAATGTTAAACAAAATTATAACTTTTAAAGTGTGTTAAAAGTTAACATTTTGTTTAACACTTTTCTTCACTTTTATCTATTCAGAACCAAATGGTCAGTAAGGGCCAGCACAAACCAACGGATGGCAAAGCAGAGGACATTAAATTTATCAATGTATATTTTATGCTATTTCAATAGATAAGGTATATATAAGGATTAAATAAGGTATAAATTTCAATGCTACGAGACGCAGAAAGAAATGCGCTACGATGCTCGTACGCCGATCTCAAGAGCAATGCAATTTGTACCTTATTTTAATTGAAATGGCATTAAATATACATTGAAAAATTTACTGTCCTCTACCTTCCCGTCCGCGGATTTACGTTGGTCCTTAAGGAGTCTGGTATCTTAGGGCATCGACTGTTCATTAGGAATATCTGTATTTTTATCATACTCATCTTCAACATTAAAAAAAACACGTGCTGAAGTCATTCAAAGGCAAACTAGAGATAAAATTATGAATCATTTTATACCAACCTCGTTGCCATAAAGCTATTTATAAGAATAACTGCGTCAATATGTGTAAAATTATTTTCAATGAATTACCAAATGAATTTGCTACATACTTTTAAATTACAATTGACAAAATGGCTTTTTGATATATTGCTTCTAGAGTAATAAAGCATTTTTAGAGTCATCGAGTATATAACCAGAAATAGAGACGAAATGAGGGCCATATATTCCTGGTAACACATTAGCGATACAGCTCTTATAAATATCAACTCTCGTTTGCACTGAAATATAGACAGGTCAACTACTGACCTGTGTACGTCTCCGTATATTCCAAAAAATATTCTGTATTTATTGTAATAAAGATAATATCTGTAACAATGCCATGCTGTTCTATTCGGTGGTGTTTGAAATACAGCAAAACATCGAATTACAAAACCAACGGAATCAAATTTCATCGGTAATTAAATATTAAATATGTAATTTTGCGATTTTCGTCCAATATAGCAAAGCTCTAGTTAACTGGTCGATTTGAAGTGAAACAGTTGACGACACCCATTGACGACACCCGTCAATTGTTTCGAACTCAGACTAGCCAATCGGAGCGTAGTTGACACAGTAATGATATGGCAGAATAGTTTTCAAACAAATTAAATGACATTTCGTCTCTATTTCTGGTAATATTACTCGATGCTTAGAATATACAAAGACTATATGCATTAATTTGAGATGCAATAAACTGAATTTTTTGAAAATATGAATGGCAAAGGCTTGACTACAAATGGGAATTTATTAATATTCGCTTACATATATCATGTCAAGTATAATTAGATAGTTAACAATTGCGTTCTATTGACTAAACATTTAAAATAAGCGATGTATAATGTTTTACTTAAAGTAAATCATGTTTAAGTAACAGTAAGTACCAAGAATTGCAACAACTAATCAAAATTCTCACAAAATGTCACATGCCACACCAAATTGCTACAAAACATTAACTCTCCTATTTACACGTAAACGTTGAGTAAATTGTATAAAGGTAATTATGATTACCCATGTCTCACTGTACCTACAGTTAACGTGTAATTTACACGTTGTATAACAAAGAACGCTAAGTAGAAGACTGTATTGCGTATCAGCTTCAAGTGTGTGTTGATGTTATCAGGGTTATCGACCAGAACAACATTCGTTTTGAGTTAATCAAACGAAATCTATTTATTACTTTAATTACAAAAACCGTTAGTTTCGCTAGTTGAGGTGCTTTTGTACAATATTTGGCCTTCAGAGCATCGTGAAATTTTATTTACGTAACCTAATAATGTTTTATATGAATGAAATCGTAAATCGTATTACGAATAAGAAACATTCACGACTTCACTATTTAAACTAGGTGCCACTTCCTTATTATCTATTTAATTAATAACTTGACCTGTATTTTGCTCAATTGATTTGAGATTATTAATTTGTGTGCTCATGCTTAGTTACTTTAAATAATTAATAATTGATGTTGAGCATCTCTCGGTATGTCCGGCGTATCATTTTTTTTTGTATAATGAATTTCGTCATATCTGTCAATCGAGATTTTCCTATACTTGTATTAATTTTAATTATCATATATATGAAGCAATTAATATCGTAAAAACTTCTTTTCCGAGATTTTTTTCACAAAAGTCTTTGTTTAGCCAAGTTTTATTTCATCATGCCTGTGTGAAGTTTGTACCCTAAACTTTTGATATACTCGAATACACAATATAATAATATGAATGGAAATATTATTATTATAATGAAAGATGAAAATCTTTACCCATTATGGTCGTCAGCAGTGTATTCAACTTTTCGAATAGAGCCGTCAGGTTGCAGCAGGGAGTATTCGCCTTTCACAACATCGCCTTCGCGGGACTCGCGGTGGGACTTGTGATCACCAGTATGAGGGTCTTCGACGGAGTACGAGAATTCATAATGGGCAGGGGCCTAAAAATTAATAAAATAATGTCAAGTAGAGTGATACATCCAGAAGACGAACAGTGTCGTCTCCTGTATCTTGTAGCAAATTTTAATTTTGTTACGAACATAGATTGAATAGGTACAACAGGAAAAAGAAAACATTTTTGTCATAGCAGTAAAATGGCGCTGACTCAGCATTTGCCTAAGTTCCCTAAGACGCTGTTTTCAGTCAGAACCAACGAGAGGTACTAAATCTAGGAGTAATTTGTAATGAAAGATCTAATAAGCGACTAGGAGGGAAATTGTTCACTAAAATAATAAATGTAATAAAGTGTGAATAGTGCATCTAAAGTAACCTATTCAATATGTAACTTTGTGCATGTGCGGATTTGAATATACATATAAGTGTAACTGTAAGTGAAAGTAATAAATCAAAGTAAAAAATGTACATTTCGAAAGGCTACGAAGAAGAGTACATGGAGATATGAAAACTAATATTAATATTACAATTTCAACAAATTAGACAGATTTTTGTTGAGAGTAGGTGTTGCCGGTAAAGTGCTTTTAATTTGTGTTTGGATGACTCGTCACGTACAGGAATATTACTCTATTTGAAACTGCCCCTAATACGGTATGATAATGGTAAGAAAATATCATATACTTTCAGTTAAGAATTTGACGAAAAGGCACTAACCAATGAGGTTAAACTATTTGCCGTACAATAATTGCGCGATAAGAGTAATTCTGTCGTATCGATAAAAGTAGCCGTCGGAACTATTGCTACGTAAACCTATAATATTAGTAATGATGTGTTTGATAAAAAGACATTAATCCCAATCACAGCGTGATAGATTGCCAATGTGGATGTTACAACACTTTCTATAGTCTTGTAATGACAAGGAGCTTGCACAATAAACATTTAAATGGGTTGATATTAACTGATCACATTTTTAATCATAGTATTTTGCCTTTCACTTTCTTTGTGTTAGTGAATTCGGGTGCGTGCTGCAATTGGATGCGTAAGATTAAGTGAACATTTATACTGAATTAAATTTCATTAGAGACTCCGTGAAATTGCCTAACTTCGAAATTCTTTTAGTACTGCCAATTTTCAAGGAGTATCTATTATTTTAAGTACTGAAGAGGAAAATATTCCGCTACAGCAGAACTAATAGTGTCTTAAAAGTAGTGAGTTTCATAAAAACAGCATTCAAATGTCTAAAAGAACTTCATAAAAACTTTTTAAGTAGCAGTAGAGTTCCTTGTGATAGAGTTCGTCCATGATAGTACTGCCACCTTGCCTATTTCTGCCGCCAAGCAGTAATGTCCGCATTGCTGTGTTCCGGTTTTGAAGGGTAAGAGTGCTAGAAAATTACAGGCAGGCATATGGGACTTGTCAACGTATGTCTCAGGGTGACGGGCTCAGTGGTAGTGCCCCTCAGATCTTTACGATTTAAAGCTCTGAGTGGCACTGCAACTGTTATGGACAGGCGTGCAGCTTACCATTAGGCGCACGACTTGTTCGTCCCGTCACTAGAAATTATAAAAAAAACAGCACCCTTACCCTTCAAAACCGGAACACAGTAATGCTGATATTACACTTCTTCGCGACAGAGATAGGTAACGTGGCAGTGCTTCGACGTACCTAGACGAACTCTTTCAAAAGGAGCTCTATTGCTACTAAACGCTTACCATCAGGCAAGAATTGTTCGTTCCGCCACTTGGGGACATAAAAAAACTTACCTGCTCTTCTTCAACACGGTGGGCTTGTCCAATAGCAACAGGTCCTACATGTTGTACAACAGGTGCTGCATGTACCAGTGGTACAGAATGATGGACCACGGGCGTGGCATGGGCAAGGGGGGCAGAGTGGAGGACAGGGGCAGCGTGTACAACAGGAGCGTGAAAGACTGGAGCCGCGAAGTGAGTATCAATTTGGTGTGGCTCATGTCGGACGATGCTCTGCGATGAAACAGCGTGGTGATTGTCGTCTACTAGAAGAGCAGCGTGACAGATTGCCGCGACAATGCTGATGATTGCGACCTGCCGGGAAATGGAGAACGAACTCAATTTTTTTTTCAATTCAAATGTAATATTATATTAATTGCGATTATGACAATTGTTGTGCGGGTTATTATGACATATTGAAAATTATATGAAATTTTTGAAAATTATTGAAAAACCTTACTTTAGCAAACATGTTGATGTGCTGTGCTGAATCGAGGTGCTCAATTGATAATGTCCCACCATGGATGTAGTTTTTATACTCGGGAGGTCGCTTTGGGTCTCGTTGACACCCGACACCGAAACCGGCCTGACATATGACACGGTGCATACGACCACCTTTACTCTTCGCTTACGTCACGCTATTGACACTTTCTGGCTTCTTCAAGGTTAACATAAGGCTTGGTTCAGATTGCTGTGATTTGATCAATGGATTTTACCAATGGAACAAGGTGATGGACAAAAAATATTTGGGTTTAAAAAAAATCTAGTTCTGTTAGGATAATCAAGATGGCTTAAGTTGGGAACTTGAAAATAATACTTTAATTTGAGTTTATTTAACCATGCAAACCTCTCTAATTTAAAGACCTCTATCTGTGTAGTAATAGCTATAACACTAAAAGTACACTTAAAGTCTTAAGTATGCAAGTTGCATTGTAGTCCGAAAACGATTTCGTCCCAGAGGCCCACTGACCGTAATACGATTGTCATTTCTGCTGTGAAACATTTATTTACTGCGACCATTTATTTGCTACACTCAGTGAAAACCTAACGTAATGATGTTAGACAATTGCGATAATGTTACGTTATGTATAGTCCAAGACATAAAATATACTACCTGACTTTCACGTGATAACATTGTTATTTGTTATGGCTTTTGCTACGGATTTTAATTTTAATAGTTAATAAAAATAGTAACGGATAAATTAATAAATCAATTTTTAATATTGCAGGTTTTTGTTTGTTAATTATTGCATTCTCAGTGTGTGTGTCCACAGCCGAGGGCAGTGACATCGTAAGAAAGTAGCGCTCGGGGCTGCACCGGTGCTCCAGTGAACTCTTGCGCAATCGGCTCGTCACTCGGTGTGTGGCTCGAGGCGCACTGAGTGATCAGTGAGCCGTTCGTTGTAAGTAACTATGAAAAGGAGGTCCACTATCCCGATCCTTCCAGAACGAGGAAGTCCAAGTAGAGTAGTGGTATTTTGTAATTTGAAATAAATATGCTCCCAATGCCTCATTTTTTAGTAAATTACATTGCCATGTACACATTGTTAAGAAACGTCCATTGTTCGAAAATTTGTACCTGGTGTCTGCATTATAGATATAACTTTACATTTACTACGTATTGAAATTTATACTACCGCTATAATGAGGTGAACTTTATACGCAAAATATTCCCAGAGCTTCTCTCAGTACGCCAACAACATGAAATGCGTCGGCACATAATCACGCTGCGTTTCCTTCGAGGACCGCCGACCGGCATGTGGTCGATTCCTATCATCCGCGAAGGCCATGAGTTGGTAAATCGGTCAATTTTAATTAAATCTACAGATGCCACTGCATTTCATTTTCATTATCCTTTTTACTCGCAACGAAATTGTAATTTGTCTCGTGACTCGTGACCACAGATATGGATGTGTTAACGTAACGTTCCATAAGGTAATAAATATTTTTTAAGCATCCATCATTAAGGCATATTTTATTGTTGCAAGATACGCCGATTGATTTCATGTAATGCTATAAATTACGCGTCGTTTATGTGACCAACTGTGAAATTTTGTATAGGTACTGCATAATCGACCTATATTCCGTTTGTTGATTCTATTTTTTGCTATTAGAAATAAAATGAATGATTTAATTATCATTAATGGATTTAATAGCAGCAGAGCTCTTTGTGAATGAGTTCGTCCATGATAGTACTGCCACCTTACCTATTTCTGCCGCCAAACAGTAATGGTAGCATTACTGTGTTCTGGTTTTAAAGGGTAAGAGTGCTGACGAAATTACAGGCACATGGGACTTGACAACTTATGTCCTAGGGTGACGGGCGCAGTGGTAGAGTGCTCCTTTGCAATTTAAAGCTCTGAGTGGCACTGTAACTGTTATGGACAGGCGTATTGCTTACCATCAGGGCACGACTTGTTACTCCCGTCACTTAATATTATTAAAAAAATTACGTTTGTTCACGAGAATAACCATGTAATGATTTTTACTGGGGCAAGCTGTATTTTGGTGATCAGTATTTCTTTAAAAGTCTTTTTCATTAGTATTGCATAAACTGGATTTCGTCTTTCATCTCCCTATATGTGGAATAGAACAATCTTATCTAACAAAGATCGTTGAAACAAAAGGAACATTAGCTCATCGGATGCAACAAAACATCGTTTCCTCGCGTTTGTAACTTTTGTAAGAAGGAATTAGCAAAGATGGGTGTAACGACCTTGTAGGTACCGTAACGGATCGCCGTCAATATTATCATCGTGTGTTATGAGGAGTAACTTCGACTACCGTTCTTTTGCGTACTTAAGTAGAGGATTATTTGAAACAATTTTTATTAACAAAACTTGCGCAAAAATCTGAGGTCACATTGTTCATTTCCAAGAAGAAATATAATATAATAAACGACGTAAAGCACAGCTTGATGAATGGTTGCAAGTTGCATCTCGTAGGATGTCTTTTAAATTTACTTGAACACTTTGCACTGGCACCGAGGCCGACCTCATGATTTACACTTGCTGTAATCAACCAATTTACGTACCCCGTCCCACATTAAATGCAATTCAATTCAAAACTTTATTTCGAACAAATATATATTTGTTATATATATATATATATATATATTGTAGTAATAAACTATACAAAACTCACAAATAGTAAATTACTTATTCAACTAAGTACAGTTCTAAAACACTTGATTGAGTCAGCCGAGACCATGGGACCTGTAATAATCTCGAAAGGTTGGTTTGTTTGAAACTCTTTCATTGTTTCACTAACTAATATGGATGAATATACTTAATAAAATATAATTTAAATATTAAATAATATAAATGTTAATTTGCATGAAGCACTATTCGAGTTCAGGCCAGGGCTGTCCACTGAAACAGCAATTCTGCGACTCAAGCATACCATTCAATACTACGCTGTTCGGGAGACACCAGTATACTTTTGTTTCTTAGACTTGTCGAAGGCTTTCGACCTTGTGACGTACAACGTTTTATGGGATAAGCTCTTGAGAGAGACCAGCACACCCAGGGACTTTGTCAAATTAACAAAGTTTTGGTATCAGCACCAAACCAACGAAATTCAATGGGCTGGTTCTAACTCAAATGAGTACAGGCTGGAGTGCGGAATGAGGCAGGGTGGACTTACTTCTCCACGGCTCTTCAACTTATATGTAAAATGCACTACTTTATTTTATATTCATTATTATTATTATAATTTTATTACTGACGATCATAGTTATCCCTTGACATTGTGTTTCCAATTGCAATATTGTGACATTGATAACATGAAATAAACGATTCTATTCTATTCTATTCACTGATAGATAGGCTCAGCAGAGCCGGAGTAGGCTGCTCAATAGATGGGAAAATTGTAAACAACATTAGCTACGCAGATGATATGGTCTTACGGAGCCCATCTGTCAGATCCTTGGAGGTCTTAATTGAAATTTGTGAGAGGTACTCGGTGTCCCATGGCCTTAGGTATAACTGCAAAAAGTGAACTACTTGTTTTTAAGGCGGGAAACAAAACGCCGAAGTCTTCCTCCAGTTAAGCTTGGAGGAACAGGTGTAAATAGAGTCACGAAGTTTAAATACCTTGGGCACTGCGTCAATATGGACCTCTCTGACAACCTGGACATAGAGAGGGAACGTAGGGCATTATCAGTGAGAAGGAACATGCTGGCGCGCAGATTTGCACGTTGTAATGTAGAAGTCAAAGCAACCTTGTTCAAGGCATACTGCCTAACTTTCTACATGTGCAGCCTGTAGGCCAAGTGTACACGCAGATCACTGGCGCTACGAATATAACATAATAATGGGTTTAGGATGCTGCTGGGGTTACTCCGATTCTGCAGCGCATCAGGTATGTTTGCCGAGGCGAGCGTTGATAGTTTCCAGACTATATTGCGCAAACGGGTAGTTTCGGTGATGCAGCGCGTGCGGGACAGCACCAGCGGTCTCCTGAATACCATTCTGGAGTGGGTAGATTGCCCGTTAGCAAGGCACTGGAATACGAGTCACATGCGTTCCAGAGTCACCATGTATAATATTAAATAATTAATTAAATTTCATTGTTACTAACACAGAATAACAAAATTGTTACTAACAAAATACGAACATTAGTTTCAAAAAAAAGACGATTACTATTATTATTATTAAGCCGATTCTATTTTCCTAGAATAAAAAGAGTCCAGGGGGTCTACTCTCGTTCTCCATCCAACATTTACCTAAAACAATTACTGTCAGATAACTAATACTCAAAAAAATCAAAAAGCAATGTCAAGTATTAAGCTTCACCCGCATCATGCATCTTTTAATTTGGTCGAGTATTAGGCACTTATTTGACAGTAATTTTTTCGGACTGAAAGGGTTGTAACCCTAACAAGCCGTGACCAGGTTCACGGCAGTAAAACAGAAAACTTCAGGTCCTCAAATTTATTTCAAGTCGGTTAAGGAAAGAAATAGTAACAAAGAAGTAAGGTAACAATAAAAGGTATTAAATAGAAAAGAGGTACATTATTATAAAACACTACACTTCCTAACTTGATGATGATGAATATAAAGATATTAAGTACACTTACCCCAAAAGGGCCGAGATATACTGAATTACAGATCGTATTCATAGATACATGATGAGGCTGTAGTGTCTATACTCTTATTAAAGTTGGCACATGATTTAGATTACTAGTGATTATAAAATTAGGAAAGGAATCAAAATTAGACGCGATTGAATTTTAACCAGTTCTGTACGCTGTCGTGATTGAGCTGGGAGTGACGGAGGAATGAAACAAAATCAGAATGCGAGGCAAAAGAGCTATGGAAGAATTCAAAATTTAAATTTAAATACGAGTGGCCAGGAACCGGAGAAAGGAGATAAAAAGGTATGCAAAGGTGACGATGTAAGGAGGTCACACCATCTCAGAACGAATGTCGGGCGGAGCGGACCCCCTTATCTTTTGGTCACTACGGTACCATTACGTAGAATAAG